CGCCTTCCAAGTAGCTGGAACTACAGGTGCACGCTACCACACCTGGCTAATTTTTGATTTATTGTAGAGATGAGGTCTCACCAACTTGCCCGGGTGGGTCTCGAACCCTCAAGCTCAGGCAATCCACTCACCTCAGCTTCCTAAAGTGCTGGGATTATAGGCTGAGCTACCGAGCCCGGCCTTTTTTTTTTTTTTTTTTTGAGTTGGAGTCTCACTGCAGCCTCAACCTACTGGGCTCAGGCGATCCTTCCACCTCAGTCTTCCAAGTGGCGTGCGCCACTATGCCCAGATAATTAAAAAAAAATTTATCATAGAGATGAGGTCTCGCCATGTTGCCCAAGCTGGTCTCGAACCTGTGGACTCAAGCAATCCGCTCGTCTCCACCTCCCAAAGTGCTGGGATTACAGGCGTGAGCCACCGCGCCCGGCCAGTATTCCTCTTTCAAATAAAAAAAAAGACATCTTTTACAGCAAATCGTAAGAGAAGGGGAAGCACTCGGGGAGGGCGGTCAGAGTCAAGGCTCCAGCACCTCCTGGTCCCTGGTAGTCCCTGGAGACCTCACCTGGATGTCGCTGAGGGCCCGCATGTAGTGGGCGCCTGGGGGCAGACGGGTGGCCAGCTCTGCCTCGTAGGCCCCCTCTCCCTCGTTGGCTGCAAGCACTTGCAGTTCCAGCACGTTGTCCGCCCCCACCAGGAGAGGGGCGCCGGTCCTGTGGGGGGATGGGGTGAAGCCCAGGCCGGGGCCAGACCCAGGGATGGGGGGGCAGGTGGGGAGGGGTGTTATCGGGACAAGGAGGGCCAGGTGGGGCGGGGGGGGCAGGGGGCAGTCTCCTCACACGCTGGCGGCAAGCTGAAGCTGGGGCACACACACATCGTCCTCCCCGCAGTCCAGGACAATGCGGGTCTGTAGGGCGCAGAGGGTGCAGTGAGGGGGCACGGTAGGGGGCCCCCCAGGGGTAGGAAAATGACAGCAGAATTGGAGCACAGAGGAAGGCAGGGGACCATCAGGGCCCGGGGGGGTGATATCAGGGTTTACGGACCCACATCTGAGTTTGGGGGATACTGAGATTTTTGGGTTTGAGTGGCATCAAGGTTTTTTTTGAGTTGGAGTCTCACTCTGTCACCCAGGCTGGAGCGCAGTGGCACGTTCATGGCCACACCAGCATCGACCTCCTGGGCACCGGCCATCCTTCTGCCTCAGCCTTCCAAGTAGCTGAAACTACAGGCGCGCACTACCATGCCCAGCTAATTTTTTATTTATTGTAGAGATGAGGTCTCGCCAAATTGCCCAGTCGGGTCTCAAACACACGGGCTCAGGCAGTCCACTCACCTCAGCCTCCCAAAGTGCTGGGATTACAGGCTGAGCCACCGAGTCTGTCCGGAATCAGAGTTTTGGGGTCCACATCACGACGTGCGTACTAACCCTAGCCCTGACATTCTGTTGGGCTCCTACACCCCCATCCCTGTCCCCACCGGTCCCCACCTGCTCCTGGACATGGGTGTCTCCGTGCAGCACGACAGCAGGGGCGGCCTCGGCCTCCTGGGGTGGCAGGGACACGTTGAGGCTGAGGATGATGGGGCTCAGCTTGTCCCGGAAGTCGGCCTCGTCCTCAGAGGGGGGAGAGTCAGGATGTCTTGCCACGCACTGCCTCTGGCAGGCAGGCACCCTGTCCCGCCGCCACCCTGGCACGGGAGCGCCACACACCCTGTCCCGCCAATCCCACCCGGCATACTCGGAGGAAGGCCGTGGAGGTGTGGCAGAGGGGGCTGTGCCTCCCGCCCAGGTCCAGGGTCAGGGTGGTGGCTGCCTGCTGGGAGTCCAGCAGGAGCACCCGCCGGCCCTGGCGGGGCTTCTGCCAGTCCAGCTGCAGCTTGGCATTGAGGTCTGCCAGGGCAGGAGGGAAGAGTCAGGACCTCCCCGGCCAGTCTGCGGGAGGCCCAGCCTCCCTCCCTCCAGCCCACTCCATGCCACTCACGCAGCTTCTGCGGAATGTTGTGCCCGGTGGCCCCCACACACATCTGGATGTTGAAGCTGCAAAGGCAGGACGGGGTTCAGGGCCTGGGGCCTGGCTGAGACCCCGGCCCGCCCGGCCTGGCCCTGCCTCCTCACCAGCTCACAGGTGCCTTGGTCTGGGGCAGGACACAGTTCTTCACTGCAGGATTCAGTGAGTCCTGCACCAGCAGCTGGACAGAGGCCCTCACCACTGGCTGAGCTCTGGCAGGACAAGGAGGTATGCCATGGAGGCCCCTCCCTCCCCGGCCTCTGCTGCAGGTGAGCAGGGGCCCATCCCCACCCCGCCCAGAGCCAGCGCTCACCTGTACACAGCCACTGTGTTGGCGCCATAAGCCCCAACCAGCAGGTCTGCAGACATTAGGGGAGGAGTTAGAATCGGCTATTAGTGCAGGCATCTTCCCAAGGGCACCCCTGCCACTTCCCCACTGAAGGCTTGACCCTCCCTCCCCAGCAAATGCACAAGGAAGGGCCTTTCTAGGGCTTCTAGTGGGAGGCAGCCCGGGCACCTGGGTATCCGTTGTCGTCAACGTCTACGGCCCCTCGCAGGGAGAAGCCAAAGCCAGAGATCCCGGGGAGGGGACTGTCCAGGACCTGGGAGGGGCGTGAGCTCAGCCCCTCGCTCTGGCCCAGGAACACCAGCACCTGGCCTCGCCCCTGGGGACCCCCGTAGGGAGCGGCCACTGCCACATCTGGAAAGAGGAACAGAAAGGGAGTAGTCATGGGCCAGTGAACCTCCAGGGGTGGGAGGACTCCAGGAAGCCCTCCTGCTCCTTCTCTAGGGAGACTCCAGGAGATGCAGAGAGGGGTGCAAAGTCTGGATCAAGAAGGTGCTGCCAGCCGGACACAGTGGCTCAAGCCTGTCATCCCAGCACTTTGGGAGGCCGAGGCGGGAGGATTGCCTGAGCTCAGGGGTTCCAGATTGGCCTGGGCAACTTGGAGAGACCTCGTCTCTACAATAAGTCAAAAAATAAGCCGGGCATGGTAGCACGCGCCTGTAGTTCCAACTTCTTGGAAACCTGAGGTGGAAGGATTGTCTGAGCCCAGCAGGTCAAGGCTGTAGTGGCCGTGAGCCTGTCACTGCACTCTAGCCTGGATGACAAAGTGAGACTCCAACTCAAAAAAAAAAAAAAAGGTGCTTCCTGGCCCTCCAGGGCTTCCTGGCCAGGTAGGAGAGCGCTTGGCAAGGAGAACTGTTGCTAATACAGTAACAGCCCTCACTATCTGTAAGGAAAATATGGTAGATGAGATTTCATCAGATCCTATAAGTAGGCATCATTATTCCCAATGTAGGTGATACACGGAGTCCTGGAAGATTAAGCACCTGAGATTTAGTAGTTTGGTTGGTTGGTTAGTTGGTTTTTGAGACAGTCTCACTCTGTCGTCCAGGCTAGAGTCTAGTGGTACGATCATAGCTCACTGCAGCCTTGACCTCCTGGGCTGAAGTGAACCTCTCGCTTCAGTCTCTTGAATAGCTGGGACTTCAGGCATATGTCACCATTCCTGGCTAATTTTTTAATTTGTATTTTTTTTTTTAGTAGGAGTCTCACTCTGTCACCCAGGCTGGAGTGCAGTGGCATGCTCACGGCCACTGCAGCCTCGACCTGCTGGGCTTAGGTGATCCTTCCGCCTGAGCCTTCCAAGTAGCTAGAACTACAGGTGTGTGTTACCACACCCGGCTAATTTTTTATTTTTATGGTAGAGATGAGGTCTCGCCAAGTTGCTGGGCTGGTCTTGAACCCACGGCCTCAGGCAACCCACTCAGCTTGGCCTCTCAAAGTGCTGGGATTAAGGGCTGAGCCACCTAGCCGGGTCATGAATAACTTTTAAGATCATCTTTGAAAATGTGTTAATAGGCCCGGCCTGGTGGCTCACGCCCATAATCTCAGCACTTTAGGAGGTGTGAGAGGATTCCCTGAGCCCACGGGTTTGAGACCATCCTAGGCAACATGACGAGACCTCATCTCTACAATAAATAAAAAAATTAGCCAAGAGTGGTGGCCAATGCCTGTAGTTCTGGCTACTTGGAAGGCTGAGGTGGAAGGCTAACCCTGATCCCAGTAGGTCGATGCTGCAGTGGTCCTGAGTGTGCACCTGCACTCTAGCCTGGGCGATAGTGAGACTCTGACTCAGGAAAAAAAAAAAAAGAAAATAACATTATTTTGTGAGAAGTATCCATAGGAGAGGAATTCAGATCTTGGATATACACATGCTGCAACAGGCCTTCCCTTGTCTCCTGACTCTGCTGAGGGTGTGTTTTCAGTGCAGCTTTTTTCTTTTCAATAACTTGATTGGTTTTTCTGACCAACCTATACAGAATTCACCCACGTAGACAGCTGTGACTGCAAGCGTGTCCACAGGCTCTTGGCCTCCACTCTTTCCAGGTCTTCGGCCTCCTCACCTCTTCACACCCTGACCATTTGGATCACACTTGCCACACGTCAGGCTTCTTGTCCCACCACCAGTCCTAGGCAAGTCTAGCCAGCCCCCGCCATGGGCTAATTCAATCCTGGGTTGCTGGAGAGATAGCAGACTTTGGCACCTGATCCCCTGCATCTCTCTCTCTCTCTTTTTTCAGTCAGAGTCTCACTGTCTCCCAGGCTGGAGTGGAGTGGCATACTCACCGCCACTGCAGCCTCGACTTGCGGGGCTTAACCATGCCCGGCTAAGGTTTTGATTTTTTTGTAGAGACAAGGTCTCACTATGCTGCCCAGGCTGATCTTCAACTCCTGGGCTCAAGCGGTCCTCCCACCTCAACCTCCCCAAGTGCTGGAAGTGTGCACCTGTAGTTCCAGCTACTCGGGAGGCTGAGGTGGGAGGATTGTCTGAACCTAGGAGAATGAAATCACAGTGAATTGGCTGGGCACATGGTGGCTCAAGCCTGTAATCCTGGCACTTTGGGAGATGGAGGTGAGAAGATTGGCCTGAGGCCACAGGTTTGAGACCAGCTGGGGCAATATGGCAAGACCTCATCTCTACAATAAAAAAAAATTTAGCAGAGCGTAGTGTTGCACACCTGTAGTTCCAGCTACTTGGAAGACTGAGGAGGAAGGATCGCCTGAGCCCAGCAGGTTGAGGCTGCAGTGGCTGTGAGCATGCCACTGCATTCCAGCCTGG